GCTTCAGGGTCCCGGGCCACCTGCCAGCGCATCACAGGGACAGCACAGCTGGCTTCTCCCTGTGGGTGAGGAAGGAGCTCCCCGTGTAGCAGGTCTGAGCCTCCCTGCCATCCTCCATGGCGTCCAGGTCACCAATGCTACCATGCCAGGGTTCAACATGATGGCCACACCACATCTCTGCCGGCACCTCCTGCCAGGCTGCAGCTCCCTGTTTCTTGAGCATTTTGCCTCCTCTTGCCGCCTTCCTCAACCTCGCCGCCAGCCAGCTTGCCATTTGACGGTCCTTCTGGCGCTCTGGCAATGGCAGCGCGCCATGCCCTCAGCGGTCACAAGTCACCTCCACAGCCTTTGGCACCAAGCTCCCTGCTGACTGGTGCAAACCGCCCTTGCCTGTGGGGCGGCACCACTCCCAGCAAGAGGTGGTATGGGGTACCCAGTACCCCTCCCTGGGGCACCCACCAGCGTCTTGACATGCAGCGTCTTCGAGTGTCATGGGGTGGGATGGTGCTGGGGCCAGCAAGGACACTTCTGCTTCAGGAGGCTCCCATGAGGGTTGCATTGCCAGGCGGCTGGCAGTGCTGCTCACGACATCCCAACCTCACAGGTGTCTTTGCAGACATCCAATGGCACCTGAAAGTGCCCAGGGGGCTCTTGCAGGAGGCCCCAGCCCTGCATTTGCAGCCCAAGCCTCAAAGTTCAGAAGTTCCCCCTGCTCTGGTGACTCCCATCGACCTCCAGCCACTGGAGGCTTTTTCCACCCAAAGCATCTCCAAGGATTCAAGTTGTGCAAGCAAAGGTGATGCCCCATCACCGTCTCCTGCCAGGCCCGTCTCACCCCATCTCTTCTCGGAGGCCACCAGGGACAAGTGGCTGGACCATGCCAGGGCTTCCCAGCAGGACCGTATGCCCAGGGCAGAGTCCTGCGACCACAGGGAGGTCTCAAAAGCACAGGGATCTGGGTGCGCCCACCCGCCCGAAATCGCGGGGAGGAGGGGGACAAGTGTGTCACTAGAGGAAGGAGGGCAGGGACACTAACCACAAGATTGGTGAGGTGCAAAGATGGCATGCTCAGACCAAAGAAAAGCCTTTCCAAAGGAAGACAAAAGTGAAATAACCCCAATTTTTGCTAAAGCTTTGGAGAGATAGAGCCAGCAGCTAAAAAAAAAACCCCAAAAATAAAAATAAAAAAAAAAAAAGAAAAAAAAGAAAGGGAAAAAAATCAAAGACAATGATCCAATCATAAACTAATCCAAGCACACTTCACAAGAAATGTGGCCGGCAGAGCTGCTGCGCGGGGAGCCAAACCCAGGGCAGACTCAAAAGAAGTCGGAAGGTGCCGAGCTCCAGGGAATGTGCCCCCAGCATGGAGCGGGGCTGCTGCCGCAGGGCCTTGTTTGGTTTTTTGAGGTGCCCCCGAGAGTTTGGGGTTTTTTTTGATGTTTTCTTTTTTTAAATAAGGAAAAAAGGAAAAAAGAAAAAAAAGGGGGAAGAACCCAGCTCTTTCGGTCTGAGGCTGCAGGACTCTTACCCCACCTCCACCCTCTCTGCCTGCGCTGGTCCCACTCCTTCCCACCTTGCTGCCCACACCCTGGCTGGCAGGGATAAGCCTGGCTTTAGCACACCAAGGAAGAGGAGCTCCAGCTCCACCCATAAGGGCAGACCCAGTGGGGAGAGGTTCACTGTCATGAGCTCCTCTGGCTCCTGCCTGGGGCAGAGGCTCTGGGACCTGCTCCAGGTGCACATCCCCTTGGGAAAACACCGGAGCAGAGCCGGCAGCACCGAATCCCATTTTGGGGATGGGCAGATTGCGACCGGGTTTGGCAGCACAGCCGGTTTTGCGGTGGCTGGTAGGTTTCTCCAGGCCAAGACTGATGGAGCCCACGGGGGTCTCCTGGCCACAGCTATGAGAAATCAAAGCTCTTGTCCTTGGCTGGAGTCAAGGAGGAGTTGCAGCCTGCACCCGGGTCCCCACGACCTCCCTGGACATCTCCTGTGCCAAGCTGGCAGGGATGGCCCCAAGCCAAGCACTGGGTACAGGTGGCGAGAGAAAACACCACTTTTCACAGAGCCCTCCTCTCCATCCTGTGCCCAGCTCTCCCCTCACTCCCCTCAGCTTTGTCCCCCTGACTGCCTGGGGACATCCAAGCCTCCATGTCCGGGGGGGCTCACACTGACCGACACAGCCAGGATGGCCAAGCCGGTGCCAGAGGCACGCACAGCTTTGAAGTGCCTGTGTGTCCCCAGCCAGCAGCACCACAGGGTCACCCCAAGCCAGGTGGGAGGTGGCCCTCCCTAGGACAGAAATGCCCAGGACCAAGACCCCCATGCGGCTCCCCTGGCTCCTTTGGTGCTGGAGACACAGCAGAGCTCCCCTTTCCGGGGGCCGCCCCGAAGAGGGACCTGCCTAAAGGGTCTCCAGCAGAGTTGGCGCCGTCCGTCTTCCCCCACTATCCCCCACCACCGCTGTGCTCGTCACAGCCCTACCTTGGTGGGCACCTCGCCGCCCCGCCAGGTGCCCCAGCCTCGGTGGCAATCCCAGCCGGCTGGCTACCCCCTGCCCCTCCGGGATGCCCCAGAGGTGGGAGTCGTGTCCGAAAGCAGTTCCCTCATGCGAAAGAGCTAGTTCCTTCCCGGCATGCTCTCCTAAAACCTCACCAACCTTCCTACTAAACTGAACAGGGGGGAGCGGTCGTAAAATGGATCCCGGCCATCACACAGCGGGCACTCCGGAAAGATGTCTTCCTCCAGGTCCTCCGCCTCCTCCTCCTCCTCCTCCTCCTCCTCCTGCCCGTGGTGCTGCTCGTCAGCAGGCTCGGTGATGTCGGAGTCGGGGTTCGAGAAGGTAGGGGAGGGGGTGAGATCAGCCATGCGCTCGCTCATGCATGTGTTGAAAAGAGGAGAGCTGTTGCAGCCAGAGATATCTGAACTAAGGTTAGTACAACAAGATAGAAGACAGGTTAACACCAGCTGTTCCAAACAGAGAGAGCAAGAATAGGAATTTTGCTTTTTTGGGGGGTTGGGGTTTTTTTTTCCTTTTTTTTTTTTCTGGGTTTTGGGGGGGGTGTTTTTTCTGCTTAAACCAAGGGACATCGGGAAATAAAGACCTGCCCGTCCAGTGCATCTCTAAAGGAAGCCACCAATGGTTGTTGGCTATAAAGGGTGGAGAAAAGAGCGACCCAAGGAACTGGTGCAAACAGTGGGGATTCCCCTCGCTGGCTTTGTGGGCAACGCAGGGACGGAGTGGGTGGCACGATGCTCGCCACCACCCCCGCTGCCGAAGGGAATCTCTCCACGTGCTGTGGCACAGGGGGGATGCTTCCATGGCAGGTGCGGTTGGTTGGGCCGTGCGGCTCAGCCCCCTGCTCCCTCTGCCCGCCGGGGCAGACCCCTTCTCTGGGGTGGCCCATCCTTGTTGCCGGCACTGCACCCTTCAAACCGGCATGCGGGAAGCCCACGGAGATACACAGCACATACCATACAGACGGATGCTTGGACACCAACGCGTGCACATGGACGCGTGCCTGCCAGGGCAGAGGTTGCAACGGCACGGGCTCTCGGTCTGCTGGACGGCCATGGCCCCCCGCCTCCCAACAGCAGCAAGCCAAGAGCCCGTGCCTCACAGCACTGTGTTACAGCAGGCAGCGGGAGCGTTGCCAGCAGCTCGCGGGTCCCTTGGGGTCCCGGCAGCCAATGCAGAGGAGAGCCATCGCAGGCAAGATGGGCCCTGACCAGCACCGGGGGGCAACACATCCTCCCGCAGCACAGCCCCAGGGAAATGAACGCTCTGCGCATGGCAGAGCTGGCGGCACTTCTTCCCGCAGGGCTGCCTGCAGGTCCCAGCCGCGCTTTGAAGGAGCCGAAGCGCTCACCTGCCAACCAGCCTGAACCAGGGGAAGCGGTCATAGAAAGGATCTCCGCCGGTCACCACATTGTCACAGTCCTCAATGACGCTAGAAGGCACTTCTGCTGCACGGTCATACATTTCACGCATCAAGTCCAGGCGTTGCCTGCAGGCAGAGGGGGATGCGGTAGGCAGCAGTGAGAAACTGGGCTGAGGCCAGCCACGCCCTCTCTGGCACGGGCATCGTTCACCCACCTCAGCTTCTCCAGGGTCCAGTAATGCGTTGCCCCGTTCTTCTGGTCCTGCCCCTCTACAGCCACAATGGTTCGGGGGAATGGCCGCTTCTCCCGGTCCTTGGCGGCATCGGGAGGCAGCAGGTCAGGAGGGAGAGGCGAGTACAGCGTGTCCGTGAGGAGCACGAACTGGAACTGGACCTGAAGAGGGGCAGAGGGGGATGGTGAGCCGCCTGGGAGGACAGCGGGCTCTGTGCAGTGCCTTCAGCAACCCCCTTCCTCGGCACTTCCTCGGCTGCCCATGCTTGTGGCCTCTGCCATGGGTGCCGCAGCAAGCCAGAGAAGAGCCCCAGGCACCCACCTTCTTCTTCAGCTCCACACTGATGGCGTTGGCTTCCTTGAGGAAGATGGCATTGCCCCAGAGTAGGTCGCGGAGGGAGGTGAACTGGTACCACTTCCACTTCCTAAAGGCCCAGAGGGCCAGCTCGAACTCCCGCTCTGTCCACTGCACTGTGGGGACACGGAGGGACAGTCACCCCACCACTGGGAGGGAAGACATTGGCGCAGAGATGCACAGGGGACCCGCAGTCCACTCTTCTTGCTCCCACAGAGAGCATCAAAACCCTGTGGTGGCACCCAGCCCTCACCTTCATCCTCAGGTTCTTCCTCTTCCTCGTTTGCCTCAGGGTAATACCTAGAGTCCATCTGCTTCTGCAAAGCCTCCAATTTGCTCTCGTAGTCCTAGGGGAAGCAGGGAGAGGGATGATGCAACACACAAGGTGTGACCTTCCTCCATGCTGCCACATAGCGCTTCTACCCCCCGCAGGAACCCGGCATCCTCCCTCCTCTGGATCCATGTTTATGGGGACAACCCCAGGAACAACAGGTTTGCCCTTGTTTTTAGGACACACAGAGCCACCCCATACAAACATCTGCCAGGACTCAGTCATGCCTGGGCAGCCTCAGAAGGAGCCAGGTCCTGGCCACCTACCAGCCTCTGCTGCTCAAGAAGGTAATTCGCCTCCTCCCGCTCCCTCCGGTACTGGTCCTCCAGTTCTTGGAGCCTGGGACAAACAGGGAAGGAGCAGATGACCAGCCTGCAGGTGGATAGCCAACTCCCCATCGCCCCAGTCCCCATGCCCTCACCGCTGCTCCATCTCCTGCTTCATGTCGATGCCCTGCTTCTCCAGCAGCTCTCTTTGGGCGAAAGCCCAGTCAACAGGCTCAGCAGGGGTCTCGGCGCACGGGGTCCGCTCCCGCTCTTGCCGAGCCTGCTCGGGGTGGTTGAAGCGGAAGACATGGCTCTTCCCCATGATGATGCGGTTTCCTACAGGGATGCATGTGTGGTGGGGAGAAAGGGCGTGGGTTTAATGTGGGACAACCTGCAGGGCCCTATGGGATGGAGGGAGGCGGGTTAGAGCAGTGCTGGGCGTGCCGGCTCCGGGGACCCACCTGAGCGCAGGATGCTGGGCTCCGTCACCTTTTTGCCATTCACATAGGTGTCGGCACCTTCACAGGGCTCCAGGGTCACTATTACTGCAGAGATGGTGGGAGGGGGAGAGAGGGAGCAAAGGTAAGGTGGAAGCAGAGGGATAAATCCTGCATCTCCTGCTCTGCTGCTCCTGCAGCCTCGGAAAGGGAGAGCTGCCCCGGCCAGCACCCCAGACGTGGAGTGGGGGGACACCGGGGTACCCACCAGTAGCACCCACACCCTGGGCAACCAACAGAGCTAGGCCAACCTCATGTTAATCAGAGCAGCCCCAAGGACTAAAAGCAGTTGGAGACTGGACATGAGAGGAGATCAAAGCCTCCAGCATGCATCTCCAGGCTCATCTCCCAAAGCCCTTTCACCCCCAGGTTCCTGCTGGTTTGCAGGGTGAAGAGAGCTCTGCTCTGCGTCTTGGGTGGGGGAATCATCGATGGTCTGCTCTTCCCTCCTGCCCTGGTCTCCCTGGCTTGCCTCACCACAGCAGCTTCCACGTGCCTTGCACGAGCTTCCCTCCCAGCTAAGTGAGGGCCATAGCTCGCTCTGGAAGCACGGAGAGGCCGCAGTCATGTGGGAGAGCCCCACAATCTGAGGAGGGCAGGATCCCCAGCTGGGGGCAGGTGCTGGGGACACACAGAGGGACTGGGGTCACCGGAGGTGGAGTCCCTTCAGACAAGGAATACCTTCACCACCGGTTTTGGTGTCGCTGCGGAAAAGGCAGTGCTCTTCCTTAATGAAGTGCCCGCTGAGAACGATGTCCTGCCTCTTCTCTGCATCTTCCCGGCCAACCCTGCCAGGGGGAAACCCAGCTTGATCCTTCCTTAAAGCAGCCCCTCCTTGGGCCTCCCCCCAAAACCATCCTTGGAGCTGACAGGAGCAGCCCTTGGTGCACAGCAGGACCAATGTCCCTAACAAGATTGCCAGGCAAATACATTGTTACCACATGGCTATGGCACTTTGGGGATGCCCCAAGAATGGTGCCCAGCCCAGGGACAGCTGTCACCAGGCTGCCCACCAGGCAAGTCAGGCACTGAGATATGGGCTAGGCTCCCACCACTCCACGAGACCTGGCCCTCACCTCGTTATCCCGTCCTTGATGTAGTAGAGAAGACACTCGGACATGAGTGGATCCTCGTTCAGGTTGACCAAGTGGGGTGTCTGGGAGAGACGAACAAGGAGTCAACCTGGTGCACCCCGTCGACCCGTACACTGAGGGATGCTCCTGAGGGAGGTGGGAACTCAGCAGCACCTCAGGCTGCTGCCTGCATGGGCTCTCCTGCCCTCTGTAGCTCCAGGACAACATGCCCAGGCAAGTACTTTTCAAGGAGACTGCAGAGAACCAAGCAGCCGGGATGAGGATGACCTGCCTCCACATGCCTCCTTGCCTTCCTCCTCAAAGGGCTGAGCCCTGGGCACCCTTCCACCGGCTGCCTTTGGAAATTCATGTTGCAAACAGGCCCAACACGCAACCAAACATTTCCCATGGAGAGTCCCTGATAGGGCTTAGTGTCTCCTAGGGCGGGACCCTGCTCACCTACACTGCATGTCCACAGGCCCTTGCCTCACCATAGCCCCCAGCTCCACTGCGGACAGTGTAACTGAGGCAGAGACATGTCCCATGCAGCGGTTGGTTTAGGATAAGAGAAACTAAAAGTGCCCGTTTTCCTCCACTGATGGTACAAGGACAGATGAAGCACCTAAAAGAGCAGGTCCCAGACCAGAGGTTCAACCAAAAGTGGTGGAGACCTGAAGCCGTATCTCCAGGCTGAATTTCACTCCCTGGTCTCCTTCCTAACAGTTCCCTCCCATCACTTTCTTCCCCTGGGTTACAAATTACTTTGTTCTTGATGAGAGGGAAGTTTCTCCCCCAGCCACAGACTTCTCTGGCTGCAGCTAGCTTATCTCACCCCATCACAAGCTGCTGTGATTGCACCTTCAGGCAACAGGCAAAGTCCCGTGAGTATCAGTGGGTGAAGTTCCGAGTTTCCCAGAAATAAGAATAGAGAACATAAGAAACATCTTATCAGCCCACTGACACCCAGCATGCAGAGGTTTCCCTGTCACAACAGTGCTGTGAGCCCTGGCTGATAGAAGAGACTCACTCCAAATGGTGCAGGAGAGCTGGAGGTCAAGGGAAACACAGGCTCTTCTCCACGGTGGCTGGCAGGAATAAATTGGCTGTAACATTTAACCTCAGGCCCCTCTAGGCAGACACGTAGCCCTGGGGTCTGACACTCCTTCAGCTTGCAGTTTTTCTCCAGATTTGCAAGGCTGGCTAGTAGAAGGCAGATGTTCTACCTTCCACTGAGCTCCTTGGAGATGTAACCACCCCAGCATACAGCAGGAGAACAAAGTCCTGCCCGGCTTTGCCCTTAACGAAACAGGGTTTTGCACGCTATCAATGCTAACTTTCCTCGCTAGCCACAGGAGAAGTCAGAGGAGTTTCCACCCACCAGACAGCTGAAAAGCAAGGAGGCACCAAGACCACCACAGCAATGCCCCACCTCCAAGACCAACCTGCTTTGGCAAATAAACCCCCACACTTTCTACACAAAGGTCTGGGGTCCTAAGAGGCAGTGGCTAGGATGAGAATGAGAAACAAAGATGACGGTGTAGAAATTTGTCCTAAAAGCCATGCCAAGGCACAGAAGGGGAAGGTCCTGAAGCCTTCATCATCAAATGTCACCACCTTAGCTGGGGACACACGCATCTACTAAGATGTTTGGCCAAGCCAACCAGCATCACCTGCCAGGGCAGCTCTCAGAGCATCCCTCGGTGCAGTGGGAGAGCTGAGCGAGTGTGCCCTGGTCCTACCCGCACGTGCCTGCACCTCGGCAGCCCATGCTGCTCTGCAGGCTTCATGGGGTTGGGGCTGTGAACTGGATGTCACTACCACAATGATTATACAGACGAGCGAGGGGCAGCGATGTGCTGTAACTGGTGCTTGGCAGGGTTCGCTGCCACACTAACTCTTTGGGGCACAGCCAGTATTTTCTTAGAAAATACTTCCCAGGATGCTAAAAGCAACAAAGTGTATGGAATGTTTCCACACCCACATTTCTCAGCGAGGACTTGCCAGTTTCAGGGGCGGCAATTTCAAATAGTCCAAAGTATGGATTTTTATAAGCTGACACTGAAGTCCAACACAGTGATCGTCAGTGAAGCGCCACCTGAATGGGGGAAGCATCCAGGCAATGGGGGCTGGACATTTAGCCATGTGTTTCTACCGATGTTTGTACCCAGCAGGGTCAACACTGGGATTTTCCCATGTAGGTTTCAGAGCCAAGAAAAGGCTAGTGAAATATTCGGGGCTGGCCAGCAGTGACAGGGGAGGTCGGAAAGGCGCTATGGGGGTACAAACCAGTCTTCATTTGCCAGGAAGAAGAGAATAAGATGATCCTACCTTTTTAGGAGAGAAAACACCCAAGGTGCCTCCGTCCTCCCTCATGGCCACCCCCATTTCGGCCAGCAACGCTTCCCTGAAGGAGAAAGGGAAAAAAGAGCCTGTCAAAGCCCCACGAGCCCCTGGAGCCGGCACTAGACAAGCCCAGGACAGGACCCAAGCCCACGAGTTTGCCCTGTGAATCGCAGCCATAGGGCTTGCTTCCATTCTCTCCATGCCTCAGGAGAGTTTCTCAGAGCAGACCACGTCCGTGCAGGCTAACGTGGTGGGCACTGGGGTGCCCAGGGGGCAGCCAGGATACGTCTGGATGGTCAAATTGCCTGGCTGCTCCCAGGAACTGAACTGCTGTAGGCAAAGTGCAGAGGAGGGGAGATGCCTGGGGAACCCCACCCCACGCCATCCCATCCCACCCCAACCCACCTACCTCTCCATCCGGATTGCTTCCGTCCTCCGCAGCTTCTCCTCCCATGTCTCGTTCAGCTCCGCGATGATCTTCTCTGTTTCCTGGCAAGTGTGGGGTTAGCAGGGGGTTAACGCATCCTACGGGCAGCAGACCTGCCTGCTCTGCCAGCCCAGCATGTCGCAGCGGGACAATGGTCCCAGTTTCAGGCTGGTTTAAACGAGCCGTGGCAGCATTTCACCCACGTCTTTCTATCATCCCCATCTTCAAAGAGTGAGGCACAAAGACCAGCCTCTCCATCATCTTGCTGCCAGCCCGCTCCTGCGCCATGCTGAGCCGGGAGCGCCCATCCCGAGCCAGAAGCGCCCGTCCCGCAGGGCAAAGGTAGCAGTCACCCCACAGGGAAGATGGCAGCACCAGGTGGACCCTACCACACCAAACCCTCTCCCGGCCAGCAGTCCAGAGCACGGGGCAGCTCTGAGTCTGTCCGCTCTGCAAGAGCATGCCCAAGCACCACTTCCCGTGAGAATCACCCATAATGGGTTTCCAGAAAATACTGAGCCCCCGCCACAAGCCTCAGTGCAAAAGCGTTGAGCTGAGCCCTCCATCCTGCCAGGCGCCAGCGTCTTACCTTGAGCCTTTCAATTGCCTCTTCACTGCCCGGAGCAAACATGATGCGCTCGTGGAGGCTGGCGACGGAGGCGGCGCGGCTGGACAAGGCCGACAGGGAGGAAGAGGGGCTGATCCCGGCGATGGCATTGGTCACTGTGGAGAGATTGTCATGGCGGTGACTCAGCTCTGCCCCTCTAGCATCATTATTGTTCTCAAAGTCGGACACATCTACGGGCGGGGAAGGAGGGATGGGCCAGGGAAAGACACATGGACAGGAAGAGAGAGAGAAAGAGAAAGATAGAGACAAGAAAAGCTGTTGGGAAAAAAAAAGAGTGGCTGGGTGTGTCGAGAAGAAAGCCAGGAATTACAAGGAAAAGGCACAGGCGATAGGACAGCGGCGCAGGCAGCAGCAGGGCAAGGGCACGCGCATCCCTCCCCCAGCCCAGGCAGCCCCCCAGAAGCATGGGGCTGTTTTGGGAAGCAGCTGCAGGAATAGCCCTGGAGCCTTCCTGGGCTCCTGGGGATGCTTTTTTGCAACACCAGATCCTGCAGCCATCAGGTCTGGGATCAACCATCCTCGCCAAGAGCGTGCCGCTGCCCCTGTCATCCTCCCCCACTGATGCAGCCCAGGTGGTTTTCTCTGCCCGGCTGCCCCAGATTAGCTGGATCTGGGGACAGAGAATGAGAAGGGAAGGGGAGGAGAGGCGGTGGCCCTCCACCCTACAAAGGGGTTGGGGGGACGGAGCAGGAGGAGCCATGGGATCCCCTCACTGGCAGAGGCCAAGCCCCCAGCCCACTGGAGCAGTGCCTTGGCCAGGCAGCCAGAGAGAGAGAGCAAAGTGAGAGCAGAGTGGCAACACACCCATTACAGGCAGCAGCGCTTGCCTGCCAGCACCCCGAGCATCAGCTGCCACCGGCTCCCATGGCAAAGGGATTGAGGTATTAGAGATGCTCTGAGGTATCAGAGATGCTCCTCCAGCCCCAAGAAGTCACAGGGGCTTGGCACACTGTGCCAGAGGCGGGCAAGGCACAGGTTAGTGGGTGCAGCGTTAGTCACCCATCTCCATCAGCCCACGCCTGGGGGAGCCGAGCCAGGAGGGGGCAGGCCAGGTCCTCATCTCAGCAGGCTTGCCACAGCCTGGCTACACTGCCTGGCCCGGCAGGGATGGGGCGATAGTGCTTATCCACAGGCAAAAACCTCCTGGCCGTCACCACACACCCCTCTATCAGGAGAGCACCGTGCCAGCCCGCCCAAGCGCCGTGCCGGGCTCCAGTCCCGACAAGCCCCAGCGCCAGCAGAAGCAGCAGCAGCAGCAACAGGAAACATCATGACAGCATGGAGGAAGGAGTCCCCGGGGGATCAGGCCCTTGGCATGGGGGAGGGGGAGGACATTGGTCCCTCCGAGCGCTATCCCAAGCCCAGGTGCTAACCACGACTCTGCCACCATCCCCTTTGCCAGCTCCCTGGGGACGGCCAGCCTGTGGGCAAGCGCCTCTCCATCAGCTGGGGCCAGCTACATGGAGCCCTTCCCCATGCTGCACAGGTGCCCCTGCGCACAGCCTATGCCTCCCAAAAGCCATGAAGCAACAGAGAGTACCAGTGATGGGGAATACACACATTTGGATCCTCCTGCAGCAGGATGGGCTAAGAGAGAGAGAGAGGGCAGGGAGCGGAGGTAAGACAGAGAGAACAGAACAGGAGTGGGTTCATCTCAGTAGGATTTCCAACAGCACACAGAGGAGAGGCCACAGGCAGGCGCAGCCCTGGGAACATCTTCCTGGCACCTCTGCCGGCTGCAGGATGCTGAAGACGGGAGGTGGAGGGGGAGAAAGGGAGGTCTGCTGGTGTAAAGCAGCTCCTCCTGCTTATAGGAGTGGGCTGGGGGTTGTGAACAGATGCCCAGGGGCTCACCGGAGGCGTCCCAGCTACGCTTCGGCAGCGTGATGCCGCCGCATGCCCAGCAGAGCAGGATGCAGGGCAGCTGCGGGGACGCCAGCCCCAACAGGCAGGGGGGACTCCAGCCCACCTCTGCCTGGAGCCACTGCCAGAGAGTATTAGGCGGTACCTACTGTCAATGATGTCCCCAAGGCCCTGGGCGTAGAGAAGGTCGCGCAGGCGTGCCACCTCATCCTTCAGCTCCCGGATGAGCTTGTTGTTGGGGTCCTCATTGATGACAGCGTTGCAGCGGATCTGCTTGGCACGGTCGGCGTACCTAGGGAAGGGCAGAGCCCTGAGCAGTGGCAGGGGGGGCAAACCCCCAGCTGCTGGGCAAGCGGGAGTACCACTGAGCCACTCCAGCAAGCGATCCTTTGGAGGATCCCAGTGCCGGGGCAGTCCTTTGGCCTCTTGTCTGAGGTTGCAGGGTCCCCCCACAGTATCTCCCCAGCCAGGGTTGCCACAGAGGTGAGGAGAGCACGTGGCAGTGCTTGGGTTTCAGAGACCCTCCCTACCCTCACCCGCTGTGGGGGGACAAGGGTACTTCTTCCTACCTGAGGGTGCTGAGGGTCTCATCATAGTTGATGTCGGCAGGACTGAGAGCAGCGACCATGGCTGTCCTGGAGTTGCCCCCTGCCCGGAGAGATACACTTGCGTCAGGGAGATGCTGGTCCCCGTGCCAGCTGTCACCCTCCACTCGGCAGCTAGCCCTGCCGCCAAGCCCGTACCTCCCACCCATGTCCTCACCCAGGTTCTCCCGCAGCAGCCAGGTCAGCACTGAGTCCCGGTACGGGATGAAATCCGTCTTCTTCTTCTTTTTGTTCTGGGGGATAGAAAGTGGAGGGAAGGGCTGTCAGGCTGCCTGCTCACTTCAAAGGGAAGGTGACAGCCAGTCCCCAGTCATGGGGATTCGGAGGAGGATGGCTCTGCCTAGCTACCGCAACCTCAGGCAGCTCTGCTCAGTTCCACAGGTCCTGCCTGTGAAATGCTCTGCCTGGGCCAGGCAGTTGTTTAACGCTGAGTACTGAGAGCCACAGGGTGAGGAGGGTGATGAGGATGCCAAGGGCTCTGCCAGCCCCCAGGAGAAGTGTGGCTTGGGTCCAGGAAGAGCCTCACCCCCACACCACCATGCGACCCACTCCCACCCGCCTGTGCTAAAAACCAACCCCCCCTTCCCCAGCCCAGCCAGGGCACCTACCTTGTTCGGCCCCGAATCCTGCAAAGAAAAGTGGAGAGACTGTTTTAAGTGAGCTGCTCCCCTCCTTGGCGCCCACAACAGCTCCCCGTCCCCCAAGCAGAGAGCGGCAGGCGCAAATCCCTGGGGAGATGGCAGCCTCACCAGCCCAGCTTGTCCCAGCCCTGGGGACAGCTTGGGATGTATCTGCCTGTCTCCTGGAGCCGGGATGCTCCATCCCTCAGAGCTGAGCCCATCCCTGCTGATCTGAGCCCATTCCCCCGCAGTGCTGCCACTCATCTGGGCTCCAGCTACCTACCATTTCGGCCAGGGCAGAGATGACTTTCCCCAGCGTGGTCAAGGACTTGTTGATGTTTGCTCCTTCCTAGCAGAGAGAGGAAAAGCCCAGATGCTCAGGCCCCATTTCAGAGCGGCGCTAAAGCCCGGTGCTCCAGGAGGATGAGGAAGTCCCAGTACAGGGTGGGCAAAGAGCAGCTGGTCTTACTGGGTAACCAGCACCTCCCAGCTGGGACTCATGGACCCCAGTGGAACTGGCACTGGGCAGATTTCAAACAAAACCCCATCAAGGATTGTGGCAGCGTAGTGGGCAAGGAACCAGGCAAGGAAAGGAGATGTCACAGTTGGGGACGAGGGGGCAGGACATGGCGTCCCCAGCGGCAGAAGGGGACCTTGTGCCAGCTCTCACCTTTAGTCTTGTGCCCTTCGCACCAGTGGAATCGGCTCGCTCACTCCCTGCCAGGTCCACCAAGCTGATTTTGCTGACCTGCAGGCAGAGATGAGGCTGTCAGCCCTGGCAGGCACAGCAAACCAGGCTCCAGCACAGAACTGAGGAGGGAGCAAAGACCTCTTGCAAGGTGACAATGCTCTGAAGGCAGAGGTGGGCTCTTTGGGGTCATCCTTGCCAGGATTTGGCCAGGAGCAGGGCTAACATCCTTGCAGGCAGGGCTGGAGGGCACCAACTGCCAAATACCCTGTCCGGGGGCCAGTCCCTTGAGGGACCATGAGTCCAGCATGTGCCTGGGACTTATCTCCATCCTGTTTCAACCCTCCATCAGGCCACACCATCTCACCCCAAGTGCTGTCAATAGCACACAAAGCCTTTCCCAGGTCCATGCGCGTTCCCCCGAGTCACCCAGGCTCTGCTCTCACCTTCTCAGTGGTGATGTCTGTCTCGGCATCGTGCCGCTTCTGCGTGAAGATGATGTTGAACACAGCATGGGAGCGGCTGCTGGTCTCGTTCATGTTAGTGGCAGCTGCGGGGAGAGGACAGGGAGGTATGACATTCTGCAGGGGACACTGGAGCAGCTGGTGCTGGGGCCAAGGCTCATTTCAGGACAGGGTACATGATGGGAAGGCAAGTCTGGAGGACAGGAGAGGACTCTGGGAGGAGGCATGCAAAAGTCCAGGCTTTCTCCTGCTGGCTCCAGGGTGTTTTGAGAGCAGGAAGGAGGTAAAGTGAAAATAAGTGTGGGGGTATCCAATGCTCAGACAGGAGGGGACTGTCACCTCCAGAGCAGCCAGATCAGCAAAGCGAGGAAGTTAAGCAGGGACCTTCTGGAGATGTCTGCAAGCTCTCCAAATCCTGACCATCTCCTGCTCCCCCAACTCACCGGGCCTTGTTCCCAGAGTCCATGAGGTCCTGGATGTCATTGTAGGAGGTCACAGCCAGCTTGGAAAGGTCCTCAACATACGGGCCCATAAGGGGATGCTCCCTCACCCGGAGGTTCCCCTTGTTCTTGGGGTTCAGGAGGTCCCTCACGCGTTCACAGTATATCTCCATGTAGCTCACCTAGAGCAGAGGGAACGGGCAGGGCTAGCGGCTGGCAGGACGTGGACACTCCGTGCGTAGGCAGAATCAGGCCCTGCCCACCCACCCCACACCCAGGGATGGGACACCCCAAAGAGGGGTCTGCACACCGACATGGCTTGCAGAGCCGGGTGGGAGGCTGGAGCCAGACTAGGCAGGCAATGGGGTGCCTACCTCCACAGAGTAGGACATGTTGTCGTTCGTCGTGTCATTGATGCGGGAGAAGAGGTCCTCACACAGCTGCAGAGAGAAGAGCCAGGCTGCTCAGCCTCCCACCAGAAGGATGATCCTGCCCAGGATGCCCAGGCCACAGGGATTTCTACCTTCTCACCCCAAAAACCAGAGCCCCTGAGTGCTGGGACGGGTCCTGGGGAACTGGCAGAACCCCCCCTGCTGATATGGGGGGCTTAGCATCCACAGAGACCCCCCAGCGTCCTGCTAGGCCAGCACGCAGCAGCTTTCGGCAAGCACAGCTGGCAGGGGCTCAGCACTTGGACTACTGCTGCTCACAAACACCAGCCTCATGTGGCCAGACCGTAATTCATCTGGTTTTGGAGGAGTCCAGCATGACCCTCCTTGTCCCCCTGTGCTCCGGCAGAGCCGTGCCGGCTCGCTGCCGCAGCAGGGCTGCGGTAGAACTTGGCAAAGCCTGGCTCCGCTCCCGCCCTGCTCCCCCCTTCCCTCCCCGCTCCACTTTTCCTTTGGGCATCCCTCTAGGACCATGGGAACAGGCAGCTTTTCACCAGGCGGTACCTGCGGGATGATGCCTTGCTGGTCCTTCTCCTGCTTCCCCATCATGGTGTACGATTTTCCGGCACCCGTCTGCCCATAGGCAAAGATGCAGACATTATAGCCTTCAAAGGCATGTTGCAACATCTCCTCGCCAATGTCCCGGTACACTTGCTTCTGAGATGCATAGTTGATGTCTGCAGGCTGCAGAGAGGAAGGGGACAAGGAGAAATTTGCCAAGGAGGTCCTCCTGCCTCTCTCCAGCCCAGCCCAGTGCTTCAGGCAGCCTCAGGCCTCCCACCACTTACCGTGGTGTGGGACCAGTAGGAATAGTCAAAGCTGAAGCTTTTTGGTGTCTCTTTGGGCTGCTTCGGGTTCAGGATAGCTAGGGGCAAACAGATGGGAACATGAGGCCACCCAGCTACCCATGGTACCCCCGCCACCCACATCCCATTCGTGAGGGGAGAAGGGTGATGGGGTTCAGTCTGAATCAGTCCTGGAAAGCAGGACCAGGACTCTCCAGCTCCACAGGTGGGTCCAGAGCCCTCAGACCCCAACAGTCCCAGCAGAGGACGTAGATGCCACAGCCAGCAGAGCCTGCACCAGCCCAGGGAGCAGGGCAGAGCCTTGCCCAAATGCTGGGCATGGTGTGGGGGAAATGGCTCCTTCCCCTGGGCTCCTCCCTGCTTCGGCACCTGCCCGTGGGAGCCCAGCACTGGCAGCGGCACGGGAGGATCACACCCTTCCTTCACCCCACAGCTGGGGGGGCCATGCCCAAAGCCACACGTGTTGGCGCTGTGGGGTGGGAGCAGCTGTGGCCCCATCGGGGCTCCCCCAGGCCCCCTCCAGCTCATGCCTCTCTTCCCCTGCGCTTTCTTTTGGGTACCCAGCCTCAGCAGGGTAATTAATGCCTCGTGTTACACCGCCAGCAGAAACAAGAGCCTGCTTTTTCCCATCCCCTGGTGAAAAGGACGTTGCCATGGAAATTGGAGACGGCATCACTTCTCTTCCTCGCTCGCCACTTCCCCCCCCGCCCCCCGTAGAGCGTTTACGATGGGTTTTTTTCTGAAACAACAGATGCGTCAGAAGAAACCCAAACCAGCAGGGTAATCACGAGATCCAGCCATCAGCCATGTTAGGCGACACTGAAATGACCTTGTGGGTTGGCGCAGCGCAGCTCCTGTGCCCGCAGCACCCAGCTGCTCCCTGCCACTGCTGGGGACAAGGCCATACAGCACCAAGGCCAACAGAGCTCCCTCCATCACAGCCCCAACCTGCCCTGCCCTGGGGCGGGTGCTTGGCCAGGGCTTGTGCCTGCTCAGGATTCAAGCTGGGACCTTCCCAAGCAGCCCTAGGCATGATGCAGCCCACTCCCTGTGGGGTCAGATGCCCCGCTGCATGGCGGTTGCTTTCTGTTCCAAATTCCTCCTCCATTGCCACAACAGATTCTCCCCTGGGAGGGATCCGCCACTTCTGGCCTGAGACCTGTCCATCCCTGCCCACAAAAGACAGCGAGGCAGGCAGGTGGAGGGTGGGAAGTGGGGTCAGAATGCAGCCCCGATCACGAAACCGCAGCATGGTGCTGCTCAAATCCCCCTCACTGTGGGCAGGAGCCCAGCTCCAGCGCCACAGAGGGGCCAGGCGCTGGCTTCCTGCCTGCCTGCCCACTGGAGGCAGCGTGACTCAGATGCTCCAGATGCCTCCTGCATCCTGCGCAGACTAATTACCAAAGCCAGAGCTGCTCTTTCAGGAGAAGGGGCTGGGAAGCGACATCCCCATAGCAACTGCCCATCCCACAGCTGCAAACAGGGACTTGGAGGCGCCTTGCTGAGATCCAGACCAAAACGACACCAGGCCTTTCTGGACAGCCATGGGGGCTGCCCAGCCCTGCCAGTGCCTGGTTAGTGTGTTGAGGGCATGTGAGCGGCCATTGCAAAGAGAAGCGGGTGTGGAGGCCATGCAAGAAGTCAGATGGAACGTCTCTGATGGCTCCTGGGCTTCACCTGGCAGCTCCGCCATGCCACCCATCCCCCCAAGCTCTCGGCTTGGCTCTGTGTATGCCCTGCAGAGGTGACCCTTGCCGGAGCGAATGGGAGCATCACCCCCCCAAAAATGAGTCCAACGGGGGCAAAAGCAGGAGTGGGCAGGATGGCGGCTGTTCTGCATCCCAGTGCCAGCCCACACCGGACACAGGGCGGAGGAGCAGCTGGGGATGGCGCCGAGTGGCTCCAGGCATCCCAGCTGCAGCCACCCAGCTGGCCTGGCAGGCTGGAGACAGGGACACAGAGGAAAGAGGAGCACACCGAGAGCAGCAGGTCTCCCGTTCTTGAGCTGAAACGCTCTCCCCATGCCCCTTTCATTCCCGTTTATTTGCCCCCGTGCGGCTGGATGCCGCCGGTATTTTTTTTCCTCTCCTGTGACCAGGCATCCCAGGGCTTTTGCAAAGCTGCTGCAAAAAGATTCGTGCTCTAGCCAAAGGGGATTAAAAAAGGCCGGGGGGGAGACAGACATACAGACAAGAGGGGGAGGAGGAAAACATCTGGAGATGACCTTCATCTTCACCCTGAAGAGCCAGCGGCATGGCAGAGTGTAGCAAGCAGGCAAGCACTCAGGATAAAACACAAGATCCACAGGAGAGAAAATAATCACCGTATTTTAAAGCCCACGGAGGCACAGCTCTGACTGGAGAATATTATGGCCTTGCAAGATGAAAACTGGGGTTCCTTCCTCACCATCCTGGCAGGAGCTGCCAGGAGAGGGGCCAGGGGTGTTGGTGCCCGGGCTGGTCCCCGTGGCCACATGGAGGGGGGGATGCCATGGGAACAAAGCGGTAGTGTTGGTGGGCAGGCGGGCAGCTGCGGCACAGCAAGCCAAGGGGGCGGCGGCTGTAAGTTTGGGGGGAAAAGGACAGCAGAGAAGGGATGACCCCTTCCTGCTCCGGCCCCCAGCCCCTGCTGCCCCCCATGGGGCTTAATGAATTAGCCAGAACAACAACCTCCCCCACCCCAGTACGTGGGGGGGTCTCTGCAAATAATCCCAGGAAGGGGGAAACTTGCTGTTACTCCCCGCAAACACATTTATTTTTGGCTTCTCTGTGAGGAGCTGGGGGACCGAGACAGTCCCACTCTGCAGGGGGGGCAGCTGGCACTACCAGCATCCTCCTGCCCCCCCCAGCCAGCAGAATAAGCAGGAACCAGAGCCCCCCACCAGTGCCTGCCCCCCAGCTGAGGGGATTAGCCGATGGTTTGTCCATTCATGGAGAAAAACTTCGCTGTCAGCAAAGGGCTGGCTGGGGCGCT